GCAACCCGGCCCCCGCCCCCAACACGTTGGGCCGCCACGGCCCGCGCCATTCCACCGTCGGGCCCCCCTGGCCCCTGGACCCTGGGCCCCGCCCCGCCATGGACCATGGAGTGGTCGGCCCGCTGTCGAACACACCGCCTTCAGAGTCCACGATGGCCAACGCGGTCGGCTTGAGTTCGATGCAGTCGAAGTGGCAGTTGTCCTCCCGCCTCCCTCCCTCCCTCCTCCCTCCTCCCTGCTCCCTGCTCCCTGCCTTCCTTCCCCTCGGCGTGGGCCTGCCGTTTTCCCCGTCCTCCTCCTCCTCCTCCGTTTTATTTGTCCCCCCCCTTCCTCCCCCCCCCCCTCCTCGCCTCTCGGCTGGTGGGCAGAGCAGGGCGCGGTGACCCCGATGGGGCCTGGGGCCCAGGGGCGCAGAAGCTGCCGCCAGCTGCCCCCTCCTCCTTCCATCCCGGCTCCCTGGCTGGCGTTCTGCACGGTGGAATCCCCGTCCTCACAGTGCACAGTGCCGGAACATTGGTGCCCGCGCCTTCCAACTCACCAGCTCGCCCCCGTCCGCGCTCCGCCCCAGCGCGTCCATTACCTAAGCGACGGGCCCTTCCTTCCCATTTCCCCCTTCCCCACCTCGCTCCCTTTCTCCCGGCCCGGTTCCTCGCCTCCCACTCCTCACTCCTCATCCCCTCATCCCTCCTCCCTTCCTCAGTCCACCTCTCCGTCGGGCCCCTCAGCTCTCAGCTCCCTCAGCTTCTCTCCCGGAGCCCGGAGCCCCTCAGCCTCCCTAGTCCCTCATCCCTCAAGGCCCGAGGCCCCTCGCACTCTCCTTGGCGCCCGGGTGGAGGCGGTGCAGGAGGCGGCCGGGCTCCGCCCCTGCCTCGCGCAGCGCCTCCTGGAGCCGCGCGGCCGGGCGCAGCGTGGCCCGGGCGCCGCGGGCCGACCGCCTGCCCAGCCCGTCTCGGGTGGGAAATCAGTATTTATCTCCCTCCTCCTCCTCCTGTTCCTCCTCCTTCATCCTTCATCCTCCTCCTCGTCATTATCCTCCTCCTCTTCCCCCTCCTCCTCCTCCTCCCGCGTTTTCTCCCCCCCCACATCCTCTTGCCTCCACTTCCCCCACTCCTGCCATCCTCCTGGCGCGCTCGCCGCAGCCGCCGCCGCCACTCGTGCAGGCGCGGCTGCGGCGAGCGAGGCCGCGGTCGTCGCCGTCGCCGTCGTCGTCGTCGTCGTCCTTGTTGTTTGTGCATTTTTGTGTGTATATATATATATATATATATATATATATATATATGGATTTGGCTACTTGGCGGTTTATACATATAGTTTCAGTCTATCTCATAGGCTGTCACTGCGATGTTTAACGTTTGCTGCTATGCATCGCTTCTCGCTTTATTCACCGAGAGCTCGAAACCCTCCAGCTTGAGCAGGAGGGCTTCGAGCTCCGAGCTCTCGGACCACGCTGTCCACTTCGTCGTCATCGCCGCCGTCATCATCGCGGAACCGCCGTCGTCATCGCCGCCGCCGCCGTCGTCATCGCCGCCGTCGCTGGGGAACGCTCTTGCTGCCCTACCCGTCCTGCTGCCTGCTGCCCTACCCCTCCTGCTGCCCTACCCCTCCTGCTGCCCTACCCCTCCTGCTGCCCTACCCCTCCGCTGGCCTGCTCCTTACCCGTCCTGCTGCGCTACCCCTCCTGCTGCCCTATCCCTCCTGCTGCCCATCCTGTTCCCTTCTGCCCTACCCCTCCTGCTGCCCTGCCCCTCCTGCTGCCCTACCCCTCCTGCTGCCCTACCCCTGCCCCCTGCGCCGCCCCTGGCTGCGCCGCCACCGGCCGTCCGGGTAGGCGGCCAGCAGCAGGGCTCCGCGCGGCATTGCCGCGCGAGGCCCGAGGAGAAAAGAAGGAGGGAGGATGGGGGGGTGGAGGAGGGGAGGGGCGAGGAAAGAAGGGATGGAGGAGAGGAGGGGCGAGGGGGGAGGGAAGCGGGAGGGGGTGGAAGGGGTGGAAGGGGGGCGGCGAGGGCGCGGGGCGCGGGGCCGCGCGCCGCGCGGAGGGCGAGGCCAGAGCCGGAGGAGGAGGAGAAGGAGGAGGAGGAGGAGAAGGAGAGGGTCGAGGGGGATGGTGGGCTGTGGATGGTGAAAGAAAAGGCGCTCCCTGGCACCCCCCGCGGGCCCGCGGGTCGTCGTCGTCGTCGTCGTCGCCGCCGCCGGCGCCGCCGCCGCCGCCGCCGGCGTCGTCGTCGTCGTCGTCGTCGCCGTCGTCGTCTTCGGCGCCACCGTCTCCGGCAGCGGCGGCGCCAGACCCCCCCCTGGAGCTCAAATGCAAAAGTGCATGATGCGCAGACCCCCCCTGGAAGTCAAATGAAAAATTGCATGATGCGCAGACCCCCCCAAGACCTCAAACGTATCCGTTTTCATGTCTGAACCAAGAGATCTGCATTCCCAAGTCGACCAGAACACCTTTACTAGGAACAGGCCCGTTTCGCGTGAATCATCCTCGGAACTGGGTTCCGCGATGCCCTGGCCAGAGGCTACCAGGTTATCTGGCCCATTTTCTCTTGGGATACCCTCCCAACTCTGCCGAAGAGCATCCAGGGAAGGGGGAGGGGGAGGAGGAGGAGGAGGAGGAGGAGGAGGAGGAGGAGGAGGAGGAGGAGGAGGAGTAGAAGGAGGAAGAGGAGGAGGTGGAGGAGGAGCAGGAGGTGGAGGTGGAGGTGGAGGGGGAGGAAGAAGAGGAGGAAGGAGGAGGAGGAGGAGGAGGAGGAGGCCGGTAACTGGGCTCCGGGGTTCCGTGCTCATCCGCGACCCCAGAGCCGACGGCGCCCTCGGCCCTGCGATCAATCTTGGGCCGCAGGCGTGGCTGTGGCTGTAGGCCGATCTTCCCGTTCTCGCTCCTCTTCCTCCTCTTCTTTTTCCTCCCGCTTGTCCCTTTCCCCCAGTTCGTCCTGGAAGTCTAGGTGGATGCCCAGCCTGCTGCCATGACGGGTGCGGTGTGTGGCCGTCGTCTTCGCTGTCACCCTGCTCGTCGGCATCGCCAGCACTGTCGGCCGGAAGCCTTCCCGAGCCTGCCAGCTTGCTTATGGTGCCGGCGCTTCTGCCGAGGATCTTGCGGATAAGCTCACTCCAGGCGTGCCCGCTCGCATTTGAAGATCATCGCGTTGCCGGCGCTGACGCCCGGAAACGCACTCCCAGGCGTGCCGGCTGTCGGGCACCGCGCATCGCATTGCCACCGCTGTCGGAAAGAAACTGTTTCCGAGCGCGCCGGCTCGCCTATAGAACACATCGCATAGCGAGCACTTTTGCCACGAAGTCCATTCCATGCGTGCCCGCTCGCGCGCGGTGGTCATCACGCTGCCGGCGCTGATGCCAGGAGGTTCAGTCCGAGCGTGCCCGCTCGCTTCCAGCGCGCTTTGCTTTGCTGAGGAGGGTTGGCTGGGATTGGCCGGGGATTTGGCGACACCACCTCCTAGATCCCATTTTTTACAACTTTGTAGTACTTTTTTTCGACCGACGTGTAAGGATCGCACGCCGCTCGCGTCGCGAGCTTTCCGTGCGCTGGTTGGGGTCATCGCGCCCGCTCTCGATGATCGATGCGGCTACCGCAGCGGGGGGGCCCTGCCAGATAACCTTCGCCTTTCGAGCGCAGACGCCGGACGTCACTATTTCGTTCCTGGCGTGGACCCCCTCGACCTTTTTTGTGTGGCGCACCAGGCCTTGGTCTCCAGCTGGGGCTTTGGAGGCCACCGACCAGTCCCAAAAGGTCCCCGCGCGCCCTCAAACGGACAAAGGCGCCCAAGGCGATCTCGATCCTGGACCCTCGAGCTCGATTATGGATCCGGGAAGCTCGGTCCTCGATCCCCATGCTGAAAACACGATCGTGGATTTTCGAGCATGCATCCTGAAACCTAGATCCTGGATCCTCGATCTTGGAATTCCAATCCTGGATCCCATCCTGGATCCTGGGACCTCGGGCCCTCGATCTTGGATTGTCGACCCTCGACCTTGGATCCTCCATCCCGGATCCTCGATGTTCGATCTTGTACCCCCTTGAAGCAGTAGAGCGCTTTTTGCATGCCGTGTCGAAAATCGTCCAGGGGACCGTCCTCGGGGTAGTTTTTCATCCTTGGTCCGTTTCTGGCGGTCCCGGGTTTCGAAAACGGCCCTGGGAGGCCAACGCCGACGAACATCCGAAAGCGACGAAAGAGCACACACACACACACGCACATATGCACAGATGCACATACGCACATATTCACGTACACGCAACCTACACACAACACGCAACACACAACCACGCACAACGCACAGCACACAACACAACACACAACGCACACACAGCACACATCACACAGCACACACAGTACCCAGCACACAGCACACATCACACAACACACAACACATAAGACACCACAGTCACACACCACACACTCAACACACAACACAACACACAGGAGGCTCCAGCACACAACACACAACACACAACGTACTCATACACATCACGCAACACACAACACACAAAATACAACACATGCGAACACACAACCACACATGAACACATACACACAAACATACAACCACACACCAACACACAAGCACACACGGACAAACACACAACGACACACAATTACACACAATCACACAAGCACCCACAAGCACACACAAGCACACACAAGCACACAAGCACACGCACACAAACCCACAAACAAACACACAACCACATACACAAACACACACACACAAACACACACAAACACTTTTTGAGTCAGCGGCGCAGAGGGTCCTCAAGCGCGACAGCAGATGGAATCCCAAACACGAAAACACAAGCACACGACCACACACAGCCACACACACACAAGCACACACAACTATACATAAACACACATACACACACACGCACACAAGCACACACACACCCATCAACACACACACAAACATACAAACATACAATGACAGACAAGCACACAAACACACAAACACACATCGACGATGCGGGTTGAATCCCTCGGCAGTGTGGGAAGGTGTACCTGGACTACACCACGGAGTACCTGAAGGGTCCCATGTACGCCCACAGGGAGAAGGCGCAGGGCGCGCGGCCCGACTACCCAGGCAACCCCCTCTACAAGAACGGCAAGATGACGAGCAACGCGCCGGGCTCGGAGGGGACGCGCCGCTGCTCTCCTCCTGATGCCCTTGCCAAGCCCAGACCTCCTCTCGTCGTGGCATTCGAGGGCTGATGTTCGTTGTTGTTGGTTCCCGGAGGTGTTCTCGCCTCGGGATGCTCTCCAGCGGCTGCACCTCGCCGAGAGCGTTCCGGGAGTGTCCGCATCGTTCGAACGCCCATAGTTGTTGCCGGATGGTCAGATCTCCGCGCTTCGTGCACAAATTCACACCGGAAATGTTTCGCAGATTTTCGGCTGCCTGTGGCCCTCACCGGGCTTTGGGACCGTCAAACGAGGGTTCGGGATGAAGAACGGGTCCCTGGGAAGAGGTCCAGGTCTTTGGGGGTCCAGGTTGCGAAAAATTATAGCTGGAGTGCAGTATCCCCAAACAGGGTTTTTAGACCCACTGCGGTTTCCAAGGTCGATTGCGTGCCCGCCTAGTGCGGGCTGGCATGGCATGTTAAAACATGCCTCCTCCTCCTCCTCCTCGTCCACCTCCTCTTCATCCCGAAAGGCATCTTGGAACCCAGAGTTGCGAGGATGTCTCCAGCGTAACGGGCTGGACCACCTCGCGCGCGGCATTTCGGACCCCAGAGTTGCGACGATGTCTCGGGCGAAACGTGCTGCGAGGAAGTCTCAGGCGAAACGGGCCGGACCACCTCGAGCGCGGCGTCTCAGAGCTCCGAGTTGCGGGGGCCTCCTGGTGCCTCCTGGGGCCTCCTGGGGACCTCCTGGGGCTTCCTCCCGGGCCTCCTGTGGCCTCCTGAACTCCACCTGAGGTTTCCTGAAGCATCTTGGGGCTCCCAGGGGGGATATCTAACCTGTGGCCGTTTGGGCCTCTCCAAATACAGGGGGGGGCCACAGGAGCAGGAAAAATCAACGAATCGACACCGGATGTGTATTAACTTGACACGTTCTGATAGAGGGCCTCCTGGGGCCTCCTGGGAGCCTCCTGGGAATCTCCTGCGGACCCCTGGGGCCTGTCCTGGGCGTCCTGCGGCCTCCTGAAGCTCTCTGGGACCTCCCCCTCCTCCTGCCTGCTCCCTCATGCACATCATCCGCCTCCTCCTTCTCCCTTCCATCTCCTCCTCCTCCTCCTCCTCCTCCTCCTCCTCCTCCTCCTCCTCCACCTCCTCTTCATCGCGAACGGCATTTCGGAGCCTAGAGTTGCGAGGATGTCTCCAGCGTAACGGGCTGGACCACCTCGCGCGCGGCATCTCGGACCCCAGAGTTGCGACGATGTCTCGGGCGAAACGTGCTGCGAGGAAGTCTCAGGCGAAACGGGCCGGACCACCTCGAGCGCGGCGTCTCAGAGCTCCGAGTTGCGGGGGCCTCCTGGTGGGGGCCTCCTGGGGACCTCCTGGAGCTTCCTCCTGGGCCTCCTGTGGCCTCGTGAACTCCACCTGGGGTTTCCTGAAGCCTCTTGGGGCTCCCAGGGGGGATATCTAACCTGTGGCCGTTTGGGCCTCTCCAAATGGAGGGGGGGGGCACAAGAGCAGGAAAAATCAACGAATCGACACCGGATGTGTATTAACTTGACACGTTCTGATAAGCGGCCTCCTGGGGCCTCCTGGGAGCCTCCTGGGAATCTCCTGGAGACCCCTGGGGCCTGTCCTGGGCGTCCTGCGGCCTCCTGGTGCCTCCTGGGCCTCCTGGGGACCTCCTGGAGCTTCCTCCTGGGCCTCCTGTGGCCTCCTGAACTCCACCTGAGGTTTCCTGAAGCATCTTGGGGCTCCCAGGGGGGATATCTAACCTGTGGCCGCTTGGGCCTCTCCAAATGGAGGGGGGGGCACAAGAGCAGGAAAAATCAACGAATCGACACCGGATGTGTATTAACTTGACACGTTCTGATAGAGGGCCTCCTGGGGCCTCCTGGGAATCTCCTGGGGGCCCCTGGGGCCTGTCCTGGGCGTCCTGCGGCCTCCTGGACCTCTCTGGGGCCTCCTGAGGCTCGCAGGGTCCCATGGAGGATATGTAACATGTGGCCTTCTGGGCCCCCAGGCTGGACCACCTCTTGCGCAGCATCTGAGAGCTCAGAGTTGCGAGAATATCTTGTGCGAAACAGGCCGGACCACCTTGCGCACGGCATCTCAGATCTCAGAGTTGCAAGGATTTCTCAGGCGAGACGGGCCGGACCACCTCGCGCAGGGCATCTCAGAGCTCAGAAGTTCGAGGATGTCTCAGGCGAAACGGGCCGGACCACCTCGCGCGCGGCATCGGGGAGATCAGAGCTTCGAGGATGTCTCAGGCGAAACGGGCCGGACCACCTCGCGCGCGGCATCTTGGAGCTCAGAGTTGCGAGGATGTCTTAGGCGAAACGGCCCGGACCACCTCTCGCGCGGCATCTGGGAGCTCAGAGTTTCGAGGATGTCTCAAGCGAAACGGCCCGGACCACTCTCGCGCGGCCTCTCAGAGCTCAGATTTAGGAGGATGTCTCAGGCGAAACGCTCAATCCTGGACAACTCAGAAACGAGAGTTGTGAGGATGTCTCAGGCGAAACGGGCCGGACCACCACATTTGTTTGAGGATGTCTCTGCTTAGCTTTCCCTCGGCCGGAATTAGCTTCTATCACAACAGCACCCCGTTCAGCAAGCTGTTTGGGGAAAAATCACGACGGGGGTCTGCGTGGACGGCCCCGAGTGTTAGTCGTTCAACCTACGGGGCCGTTGGCGGCACCAGTCGGTGCCAAAGCAGTGCTTTTCAGGCTCAGGATGGGGCTGATTACCATGGGTAAGTAGTTTGTTTTCTCTGAGCAGTGCTTGCATGAATAGGGCTCTCACGGCTGTTGTAAGGAGCTGTCCTGGTGCGGCGGTATCCACACATAGGGTTCACACATAGAGCTCGTCACATAAGGTTCTAGACATAGGGTTCCACTCACATGGTTGGGTTTCACACACGGGGTTCACAAGTATGGTTCCACACTTCCATGCACAGGGTCCCACACACGTAGGGTGCACCAGCCACATAGAGCTTCAGCCACGCAGGGTTCCACACATTGGGTCCGCTCATCTGCATACGCTTGGGCTCCACACGCCGCTATATTAGCTGTTCGCGTCGGGGTGTGACCGGTGGCGGTGCCGCGAGATCATGCATAGTTTCTCCGTGTAGTTTCACATTTGTTTTCTTCCCCGCTTCTCTACTTGCCCTTCTCCTCCATTTCTTCCTTCTCCCTCTCTCCCTCTCGACGGTACCGTTTTCTGCTTGCTGTCGCCTTACGCCCCGCGGATACTCTTCTCACTTCCCTGCCTCTCGGGACATCTACCGAGGTGACAGGTAACCTGAAGACGTTCAGCTCGAACGAGCTCATGTACCTCTCGATGCTCTTCTTCGGGATCGGACTGTACGGCAACCTGCAGTTCTTGTACTTCGACCCTCAGGATCCTCAGGGGAGGGATGATAGCGACGGCGACGGTTATGGAGAGGATGTCAGTCTCACTTCGTTTCGAAGGCGCCATCCTGGCTCCTCCTACTGCCCACCATCTCTTATTACTCCCATTTGTGTCGTCGTCGTCGTCGTCCTTATCTTGCTGCCCTTGTTCCCCACGTGACTGGCTGGAGTGCACCTACTCCTACAAGCCGAGAGTGCCCTTTCTGCCCCACCGAAAGCTCCCATCTCGCTTTTCCTTCCCTTCCCTTGCTTCCCATTATTGCTTCCCTCTCAATTCCTTCCCTCCTGCCTCTTCCCTCTGCTCTTCTCAACCCCGCTCCCGCATACTGTCAGCCTGTGACTGGGCAGTGATCCCCACTTATCTAGGCCGTGATGCGCGCGCCCCCAGGGGGGGCGCCGCTGGAGGCAACGCGGGGGTTGCCAAGGCCGCCCAGGATCTCCCTGAGACCCGTTGTGGCCAGCCTGGACACCCTCCCGGGGGCCGTCTCTGCGCAGTCCCAGGCCATGCCAGCCTGCCCCCCCCCCACCTGCAGGTTTTTGTTGAAAACGGTCGCTTCTCGAGAAATGTAGCAGCAGGTCCCCCAACAGCTATAGGATCACGCTGTGAAAGGTGCCGTCGGGATCCTGCAAGCAGCCTTTTGGGTGGGTGCGGCAGGACGTCCATGAAAGCAGAGAAAATGGCATCCCCTTTCACTCTCCAGGGCCCATTTCGACCCGAACGATCCGATTCTACATTGGTTCCCGCCATCTCAATCCGACTCGATCCCGATAGTCCGACGATCCGATGCGGCCCGATGCTTGCACGGCGCTGTTGTACATTCTGGCGCAGCAGGCCCGATTCGATTTCTACACCGTGTTAGTGCAGCCCGATCCGACGCAAGTCTCGATTCGATCCGATGTTTCGAATCGATGCTGACAGATTCTGCGCTCCGTCCCCACCCCCAGAGCCTGCCCTGCTTGCATGGTTCCGCCATGCTCTACACCCGGACCGAGGTATAAGATCGAGATCGGTTCGGGGAGGGTACCTTATGTTCTGCGGTTGTGTTGGATGATCTTGTGCATCCTGGGGGATGGTACCTTCGAGTGCTCTTCAGTTTGACCAGCGGAGGGTCTCATGATCTTTAGGGACATTTTTTTTGTTTGTTCCTAGTTCTGGCTGTGCGCACTTGCATGCGTGCGCATCGCGCCATGGCCTGCGGGGCGGCCACGGCTTTGTTGTTCGAAGACGAACTGAGGCCTTTTGAGAACAGAAGGGTCGCAGCTGCTGTTGGGGATAACGCAGTGCCCCTCCGGACCGAATCCCGCGCCCACGACTCGAGGAATCGCCCACATGGGTTACGGCGGGTGGATTCGCGGCGGGTCCCGCTTCCGCACAGAATCGGTGCACGCCGTCGCCCAACCAGGCGGCGTTGGCCTCAAGTTTCGGGGGTGCCTTCCCTGATCCGTGGGCGTGGCGCCCACGCGCCAGCTCGACGGATCCAGAAGCCATCGTAGCACGCGCCCGAGACCTGGTGGCCCTCCAGGGTCCTCTTCGATCCAATCGGTCCGATTCGATGTCGGTTTCGGCCGGCCCGACCCGATTCGATTTCGGTTTTCTGACGATCCGATGTGGGGCCGATGTCTGCTTGGTGCTGTTGCGCACCTTGACGCAGCCGATCGGATTCGATTTCGAGCCAGCACCGGCGCAGCTCGACCCTACGCGCAATCCGATCCGATGCGATCTCCTGCCTAATGCCGAGTGGTCTGGCCCTCAACCAGACGCCCCGCCACACGGCGTCCCCGAGCCGCCAGAGCTCCACGGGGCAGAGCTCGCAGCGGAGCCCGAGGGAGTGCAGGCCCTCCTGGGCCAGCCCGCAGAAGACGGCGTGCTCGAAGATGCTGTGGGGTGCCGCCCCGTCGAAAAAGGAGAACCCGCAGGACGGGGAGAAATCCGTTCTGGAACGCTCTGAGGAGGCCGCGGCGCCCGATACGTGCTCCAGACTCGCCGGATCTCAGAGATGCCTGATGTAGTCTCACCCGGAAATGTCCTCGTCCTGGCTTCCTCTTACCTGGAGGTGCAGGCAGAGTGAGTCGGCGGGTGCCCTGTGTGTAGATCTTCGTGGAGAAGCGCCCGCCTGGCCGCAGCAGGTCGCTCCAGCCGCCTGGCCTCTTGGGCCGCGCGCGGCGGGCAAAGGGGCCGCTCACCCCGCGCATGGGAGCGACTGGGAGGGCGGCTCCCCCAGAGCTCCTCCGTGTCGAGCCGAGGATCTGCCGGGGGTCCTCTCAGGCCGATGGCCGAAGATCGTTTGTCGGGCTGAGCTCGCTCGTGGGGATTCTCAGCTTAGCAGCTTCTCTCGAATCCGCTTCCCGGTCGGCCTGGCTCACTCACATTCTTCCTCCTGTCTCCTACCTCCTGCTTCTTACCTCGCCAGCCCCCTCCTCCACATCCTCCTTATCCCCGTCTGCCTCCTCGTCATACTCCTTCTCCTCCACCTCCTCCTCCTGCTCCTCCTCCTCCTATGCTGTCTCCTCTTCCTCTTCCTCGTCATCCTCACCCACATCCTCCTCACTTCCTTCCTCGTCCTCCCCCTTCTCCTCCTGCTCCTCCTCTCTCCCGTTGGTTTGCAGCGTGCCTGGCGCCCGAGCGCTATCTCTCCTGGAATCTGGGGCCGCCTCCAGTTCCCGCGGGTCGACTCGGGCCTCAACTTCAACGTCTCCTACATCGTGGAGTCGCTGTTCCTGCCGATGTCGTTCTTCTTCCACATCGCGTGCTACATTCAGCGGAAGAACGGCAAGCGAGGGGCTTGGGAGCCCTGTTATCTCCCAGCCCAGGATGGATCCCGGAAGGGGCAGCGATCGATTGGCCTCGGGATCCGGCCTTGCAACATGGTCACATGTGGAGCTGCTGTTGACGCCGTCGTTGAGCGGGTGGTTCTTCGTGTCGAGTCCATCCGGTTCGGGGGACTCGGGGCCCGAAGCGGGACCAACGCAGAATATTCCCAGAAGATCCCAGCATCTTGATTTTCGGTTGGCGGCGAGGTTGTGCAGTCCGCTCCAACAATCACTAACAGGTGTTTCGAACTGTTTTCACAGCTTTCTCCCTATTCAGTCGCATGTTGCTATGGTGCGTGCGTCACAAGGGCCGGTGATCCAGCAAAGCTGGTTGTTCTCTTTTGTGGATTGTTGCGTATGCATATCTCCATGTGGTTGCGTGTTGTAGCTTTTCGAATTCCACTTTTATGCGGACTCACCGATTTGGCGTCCAACGGGAAACAGCTGTTCAGCAACCGCTTGGCACAAACAGCTTTTAAGACGAGTGTGCACAGCGTTATGGCGAGACCCGCACTTTGGAGCGCATTATGCTCCATTAGTATAACTGTTGGAAAGTTTGAAGCGTCAGGACCTTGAGCGGTGAGGATGCCTCATGACTCATGCGACGGGAGTTTTTTATTTGTATGGAAGAAGGATGGAGGAGGAGGAGGAGGAGGAGGAGGAGGAGGAGGAGGAGGAGGAGGAGGAGGAGGAGGAGGAGGAGGAGGAGAGGAGACCCCTGTCTCTGGGCCTGGTCTTTCACCCTGGGGTGCTTTTTGTCGGCCCTGGGGTGCAGGAGCTGCCTCCCTATGGCGCCGAAAACTGCGAGACGCCCGAGGTGTAATTTTGCTTCGTCGATTCGCCAAGGGGGCCTGGGCCCCCAGAGGGGTCCGGGGTGGCCCCCTCTGAAGGTCTCCGGAAGTCCCCGGAGGCCCGCGGAGGCCCCCCGACATGTAAGATGCATGCAGAGTTGATCCGCGGTTCTGAATTATCGAGCATCCTGGTGGCTGGTGTTGCCTCCGATGCCGTGCGTCTGTTGCTGCTGGCAGAGCCTGCATGCATGCAGAGTTGATCCGTGGTTCTGAATTATCGAAGATCCTGGTGGCTGGTGTTGCCTCCGATGCCGTGCGTCTGTTACTGCTGGCAGAGCCTGCAGTAAAGCGGCGATCAACTGATGGGGGGCAGGGTTGAAGCAAATCATTTGGCATGCTGCGCCGTCTCCTTGGACACCCGGCAAGCGCTCTGTCAGGCAAGCGGGGGCGATCGGCCGAAATACCCTTGCGATCTCGGGTTGATCTCGCTCTTCAACATTCAGAGATCTCTGAGAGTGGCGGTTGGCAATCCTGAGGGAACTACGGACGAGATCGCGAGCTCCCGACTCCATTCCTTCAGTGGCCTGTGTAGGTCACGTAGCTTTAGTGGCAGTTGCGTGTCTCCCCTCGTTGTAGTCCGCAGCGCAGGTTTTGGCAGTTCGAGTGCAGCCACTGCGGCGCAGCAGAGACACCTACCCATTCAGGTGTACGCTAATCTCACTTGCAAATAACCTCCGAACGCTACTCCGAAATTCGACGTCGCGAACCAAATCCTTGCGAGGGACCCAATCATGTGCAAGTGTGAGTGCTGCAAGACAGGTGGACACAAAGGGAAGGGGCTAGCAAGGTAAGGCGTGCGTGGGAGGGACGGAGCGACGTTTGTGATGGGGTCCCAGAGGTCAGCCGTAAGTGGTAGCACCTGGACGTAACCGTTACGGAAGATCTGCGAACGACACGTGTGAGGGGTGTGCCGGGATGGACATGCGGAGGGCAGATGCAGGGATGGGGAAGAGGGATGAGGCACCAGTGCAAACCCAAGAACCATCAACGATATTGCAATACACTCTCCTAAGTTCGCGCTTCATAGGCCCCTGCAAGGATTCATTTTCACTCAGGGAAGTGCACCGTTGGAAGACAACCGTTCAAACATCCAGAACTGTGCCAACAATTAATTCCTGGGACTTCAAGCGAATCACTTGAATCGTACCAGAGCGCCATTTCTGGGACTCAATGAACACAGCGAATCAATGTGACTGTTGCGCCCTGACGTTCAGACTCGTGCCAAAACACCATCTGAGGGACGTCAACGATCATAATCTTTGAACCGGCTGCAGATTCTGCAGACGAATGTGCGCGGCGCTAAGGTGATTTGCAATCTTGATTCTGAGCTTCGCCAATGCGAGAATCACATGTCGAACATGTACTGCCTTCCACTCTTAAACGAAGCGAGTGAAGGGTGTGCTGACGTGGGTGGTGCGGACGCGCGGGTACACACCAAGTGTGGCCTTTGGTGGAGCTCCCTATGAGGGCACGAAGCGTGTGCGTGTGCGCGTGCGTGTGAATGTGTGTGTGCGCGTGTGTGAGTGTGTGTGTGTGTGTCCGTGCGTGAGTGTGTGTGTGTGTGTGTGTCCGTGTGCGTGTGCGCGTGCGTGTGTGTGTGTGTGTGTGTATTTGTGTGTGTGTGTGCGCGTGCGTGAGTGTGTGTGTGTGTGTGTGTGGCGTGTTTGCGGAAATGGGTGGTGCGAACGCATGTGGGCGTCCCCAGTGTGGCTTTGGATGGAGCTCCCGATGCGTGCACAACACGTGTGAGGGATGTTTGCGGAAATGGGTGGCGCGGTCGCATGTGGACACACAGTGGAGGTCCTTCTTTGGGGGCAATAAACGTGTGAGTGGTGTTTGCCGAAATGGGTGGCGCGGACACATGTGGACACAGCCAGTGTGCCTTAAGTGCCCTCTGGGGGCGCGAAACGTGTGATGGGGTGTGCTGAAATGGATCGTGCGCATGCACGGGTACACACCCAGTTGTGTGTGTGAGTGTGTGTGTGTGCCGAAATGATGGATGGCGTGGACGCATGTGGGCACACCCCGTGTGGCTTTAGGTGGAGCTCCCGATGGAGGCACGCGGAACGTGTGAGAGTTGTGCGGACACAGGTGGCGCGGACGCATATGGACATCCAGTGTGGCGTTAGGTGGAGCTCCCGATGGGGGCGTGAAACGTGTGAGGCGTGTGCCGGCATGGGTGGTGCAGACGCATGTGGACACACCCAGTTTGATCTTATGTGGAGCTCCCAATGGGGTCACGAAGTGTTTGCGGTGTTTTCGCCGACATGGGTGGCGCGGGCGCATGTGGACACACACAGTGTGGCCTTAGGTGGAGCTCCCGATGGGGTCACGCAGTGTGTGCGGTGTTTTCGCTGACATGGGTGGCGCGGACGCATTTGGACACACCCAGTGTGGCGTTAGGTGGAGCTCCCGATGGGGGCACGCAGCGTGTCAGTGGTGTTTGCCCACGTTGGCGGCGCAGGAGCAAGTGGACACCCAGTGTGGTGGTGTTCCCGATGGGGGCGCGAAACGTGTGAGGGGTGGGCCAACATGGATGGCGCGGGCGCATGTGGGCACACCCAGTGTGCGTATGGGAATCCCGCATCGGGTGGCGCGGACGCATGTTGACACCCAGTGTGGTCTTAGGTGGAGCTCCCGATGGTGGCACGAAGCGTGTGCGGTGTTTTTGCCGATATGGGTGGCGCGGACGCATTTGACAAACTCAGAGTGGCGTTAGGTGGAGCTCCCGATAGGGGGGCACGAAGCGTTTGCGGTGGTTTCGCCGACACGTGTGGCGCGGACGCATGTGGACACACCCAGCGTGAATTTAGGTGGAGCTCCCGATGGGGGGGTGCACGAAGCAGGTGGCGAAGCCACAGCAGGTGGCGCGGGCGCATGTGGACACGCACAGTGTGGCCTTGGGTAGAGCTCCCTACGGGGGGCGCGAAACGTGTGAGTGGTGTGCTTACATGGGTGGTGCGGACGCAGGGGTACTTCCGCAGTGTGACCTTAGGTTACATTCCCTATGGGGCCGCGGCGCGCGCGCGCGCGCGCGCGCGTGTGTGTGTGTGTGTGTGTGTGTGTGTGTGTGTGTGTGTTTGTTTGTTTTGTTTTGTTTGTTTGTTTGTTTGTTTGTTTGTTTGTTTGTTTGTTTGTTTGTGTGTTTGTTTGTTTGTTTGTTTGTTTGTTTGTTTGAGTGTGTATGGTTTGTGTGCGTGCGTGCGTGTGTTTGTTTGGTTGTTTGTTTTCTTGCTTGCTTGCTTGCTTGTTTGTTTGTTTGTCTGTTTGTTTGTGTGTGTGTGTGTTTTTGGTTGTTTTTTTTGTGTGTGTGCGTGTGTGTGTGTGTGTGTGTGTGTGTGTGTGTGTGTGTGTGTGTGTCTGTGTGTGTTTGTGCATGCGTGCGTGCGTGCATGCGTGCGTGCGTGCGTGCGTGCGTGCGTGCGTGCGTGCGTGTGTGTGTGTGTGTGTGTGTGTTTGTGTGTGTGTGTGTGTGTGTGTGTGTCTGACTTTCCCATCTGCTGCCTGCGCTTGAGGACCCACTGCGCCGCCGACTTAAAAAAAAATGTGTGTGTGTATGTGTGTGGTGTGTCTGTGTGTCTGAGCCCACACGGGTGGCGCGGACGCATGTGGACACACCCAGTGTGGCGTTAGGTGGAGCTCCCGATGGGGGCGCGAAGCATGTGACGGGTATTTGCTGAAACGAGTGGCGAGGACGCATGTGGACACACCCAGTGTGGCCTTAGGTGGAGCTCCCGATGGGGGCGCGAAGCATATTTGCTGAAACGAGTGGCGAGGACGCATGTGGACACACCCAGTGTGGCCTTAGGTGGAGCTCCCGATGGGGGCGCGAAGCATGTGACGGGTATTTGCTGAAATGGTTGGCGCGGACGCATGTGGACACACCCAGTGTGGCCTTAGGTGGACCTCCTGATGGGGGCGGGAAGCGTGTGACGGGTGTTTGCCAAAATGTGTGGCGCGGACGGACGCATGTGGACACACCCAGTGTGGTCTTAGGTGGAGGGTGGAGCTCCCGATGGGGGCACGAAGCGTGTGCGGTGTCTTCGCCGACATGGGTGGCGCGGACGCATGTGGGCACACCCAGTGTTGCTTTGGGTGGAGCTCCCGATAGGGTCACGCAGTGTGTGCGGTGTTTTTCCCGAAATGGGTGGCGCGGACGCATGTGGACACACCCAGTGTGGCGTTTGGTGGAGCTCCCGATGGGGGCGCGAAACGTGTGAGGGGTGGGCCGGCATTGGTGGCGCGGGCGCGTGTGGACACACCCAGTATGGCTTTAGGTGGAGCTCCCTCTGGGGGCGCGATACGTGTGAGGGGTGCTTGCCGAAATGGATGGCGCGGACGCACTGGTACACACCCAGTTTGGCCTTAGGTGGAGCTCCCGATGGGAGCGTGAAGCTTCTGCGTGCGTGTGTGTATGTGTGTGTGTGTACCGACATGGGGGACGCGGATACATGTGGACACATCCAGTGTGGCCTTAGATGGAGCTCCCGATGGTGGCGCGAAGCATGTGACGGGTATTTGCTGAAATGGGTGGCGAGGACGCATGTGGTCACACCCAGTGTGGCCTTGGGGTGAGCTCCCGATGTGTGCACGAAGCGTGTGAGGGGTGTTTGTGGAAATGGGTTGTGCGAACGCATGTGGGCACCCCCAGTGGGGTTAGGTGGAGCTCCCGATGCGTGCACAAGACGTGTGAGGGATATTTGCGGAAATAGGTGGCGCGGACGCATGTGGACACACAGTGGAGGTCCTTCTGGGGGCAAGAAACGTGTGAGGGGTGTTTGCCAGAATGGATGGCGCGGACGCACTGGTACATACCCAGTGTGGTCTTAGGTGGAGTTTCCGATGGGGGCACGAAGCGAGTGAGGGGTGTTTGCCGACATGAGTGGCGTGGACGCATGTAGGCATCCAGTGTGGCGTTTGGTGGAGCTCCCGATGGGGGCACGGAAGCGTGTGAGCGGTGTGCTGGATCGGCCATGCGGAGCGGCGGGGAGGAAGAAGGTGAGGTGAAGCGAGGACCCAACACCACAGGATGGTTGGGAACTGTGAGCGTCCCGACTGGAGTCCTCGACCACTTTCTCGAGCGGAATCGATCTACGGACGTCCTGGGGGCGCGAGGCCGGGTGAAAAAGCCCAGAGTGAACAAATTGCATCGCCCTGAGTCTCAGAGAAATTTTGGCTGGACAGGGGCCGTCGACCAGGCCTTGGACTCCCCGACGCCGTGAGTTTTTCAGATTGTGGACCCTCGGAGGTGTAGACCTTTCCCCGAGGGTCGAACCTTCTCTTTGGAACAAGTTTTTCGGCCGAGTCGTTTTTTTACGGTCCCGGGCCCGGCAAGGGCTCCCTGGACCTCCCAAGTTGGCACAAACCTTCCAGTGTGTTTTCTACACGACGCGATGGAATCTAGGTCCTTCTCCTCTGGGGATTCAATCGGCCCTGGGTCCAATCCTGGAATGCATTCTGGCCAGAATTTCGAGGCGGATCCAGTCATTGCGACGGGACTTCCCGGTGGCTTCCGAAAGGGCGAAACATTTTTTCAACAGCCTAGATTGCGAAGGCCTTACGCCCAGTGCCGCCGACCCTGAAGGCGACGAGGAGGAGGAGGAGGGCGAGGAGGGCGAGGAGGAGGAGGAGGAGGAGGAGCAGGAGGAGGAGGAGGAGGAGGAGGAGGAGGAGGAGGAGGAGGAGGAGGAGGAGGAGTAGGAGGAGCAGGCGGAGGACGCGGTGGAGAAGCAGAAGGGGGAGGGGGAGGAGGAGGACGTGGAGGAGAATGAAGATGGAAAGCAGGGGCAGTGGGACAACGGGGGGGGGGAGGAGCAGCAGGAGGACGAGAAGATTCCCGGTGGCCCCCCAAAGGGCGAAACATTTTCAACATCCCAGATTTCTTTGAGGCTCGACCCTTCGAGCTTCGCGGCGGCGGGGGCCTCCTGGCGCCCGCCGGGGGCGGCTGGGGCCCGCAGCGCTCGTCATCGTCGTCGTCGTCGTCGTTCTCGTCGTCGTCGTCGTCGTCGTCGTCGTCGTCGTCGTCGTCGTCGTCGTCGTCGTCGTCGTCGTCGGTCGTGGTGGCCGCCTCCGCCGAGGTGAGGTGCCAGCCGCGCACGCCACTGGGCGGAGCCTGCCTCCGCCGACCGCGGCGCGCCTTGCGCGGGGGGCCTCGGACTCGGGCGCAGGGGCGGAGGGGCCACTTCCCGGACACAGGTGGCGTCGTGAAGAAATCACGGCGGTCAGTTTTTGAGTGTTTTCGGCCTCTGGGGGCCCTCGCTGGGCCCTGGGGCCGTCAAAGGACGACGCAGGAGGAAAAACCGGTCCTGCGGGAAGGGTCGTGTCCAGGGAGCCCGTATGGGAAAAAACAAGACGTCGCACTTCTGGGCTTGGAGCAGCCAGGCCATGGCAGAGATCCTCAGGGGCAACGTTAGGCGGGGATAAGCTCGGGGGGAGCGGATCGACCCCTCGCCGCCCACTCATCGCCGACAGGGTCCCGATATCCCGCCCCGCCCAGGAACGTGAGGATCCGCTATCGGGGGCCTGTCGCCGACCGATGCATCGCCGATTCCAGCTCGATGTTCCGCCCCCCCCCTGAGCCGGCCCCCCCCCCCACGTAATGTTGCCCTTGCACTTCCAAGGATCCAGACATCCCCCGATCCGATTTTTTCAGTTTCCAGTCCGCGGCCCCAGAGCAACCGACTCGGCCCCAGAGCCCGGCAGAGGGGCCCCGCAAGCCGAAATCAAGGACATGCGTCGGGATCGGGAAAATCATATCGTCGGATAAGTTGGGGAAGTGTTTCAAGATTTCCTTGTTTTCCCACCGTCGCCTCGCGCGGAGTCCAGGGGCGATTGCCCCTAGACGCTCCAGCACTCCTGGATCCAGATCCAGATCCAATCGCAGGATTATAACACTCTCGCCCTGGCCGTGGGGAGCTGGACGGGGGAGGAGGACCAAGACCCCCTCGCATCGCGATGAGAGGCACGACGTGTGCTGGTTTTGGCCTCCGCGGGCCGTTGCCAGGCCCAGGGGCGCCAGAAGCAGCCCGGGAGGACCAGCTGGTGCCAGGGCAGGGGTCCAGAGTCATGGGAGCCCAGGTTGTGAACGCATCGCGACGTCGGAGGGGTGGGGGGGGAGGAGGATGGCGAGGGGATGGTTCTGGTTCTGCGGGGCCTATAAAGGCTGGAGAGCACCACGGAGGCGCCAAAGCCCGAGGCCTCCTCTGGGCCAAACCCAGAGGGCCTACAAGGGTCGTCTCCGTACAGAGCAAGGAGCTCCAGGAGGCAAAACACCGAACCCCGAGGCCCAGAGGCGGAGCACCTTGGCCCCAAGGGAAGGCCCAACCTCGCCTCAAGGGGTCTTCCAGGGTCTCACGGAGGCCGAAGAGACACAACTGGGAAAAACACGCAAGCGGTGCAAGGCGAGCCAACACTCAGAAGGCCGCGGCACCCACTGGGGAATGGAATACATTCGATTTCCCACCCACCTCCAGTGGGAACAGACGTGCAAGGCGAACCATCACTCGGAAGGCGTTCCGAACACGCCGGCACACGACGTCTCACAAGGATCACCAACCACGCTGGCGCCGTCAAATCCATCACTCCCAATACAATGCAAACACAAGGACACGTGCCTCCACAACTTCCGAAACAAGTCGGTAACGCACAGGTGTTGCATCAACCTGTTCTCCAGCTCACACAAGCACAGTGCAAGAAGGCCGAGAACAGAGACTCTAAACATTCACGCTGCCATCAGAGCGGAAGTGAACACGCCAGGACGAACAGGCCCCCTCTCCTCGGGCTTCATCAACAGCGATTATGTTAGACACAATTGTTTGACAGCAGGCCTCCGTTAGACAATGCGACAGGACTGCCGCCGCCGCCCAGGGCAAGGGCCTCGGCGAGATCCAGCAGCCTGTCTACGCCAGCTCGTGGCCCTCTGGCCGCACAGGCCACTGCGCCCAAGGCGTATTCGTCGAGGAAGGGGAGGTAGAGGGGGCGGACGCTCCAACCACTCCTCGATTCCAAGCCTGGAGGCAGCGGCGCCCGCCTGCAGTACCTCCAGCGCTCGCTCCCTCATCCGAGGGCGCCTGCACCGTCGCGGAATCAGCTGTGAGCCAAGCGCGGGCGACGGCCGCCCTCGCACGCCACCAATCCCGAGCCGCAACCTCGCCGCGAGCCCTGGCGCCGCCGCCCCCACGGAAGAGGGCCTGCGGGAAGGCGTCGAGGTACGCGGCGGCGGCGGCGGCAACGCGTTCAGCATGTTCGGCAGCTGGCTGCCCCCCAACCGAGCAAGAGGTGGCCGCGTCGGCCTCGCCGTCGAGGATCACGCCGTCGGAGTCGGAGCACTCGCCAGCAGCGCGCGGCGGCGCCGCCAGAGCGCCCGCGGCCTGCACGAACTCCACCTCGCAGTCGACCTTCGACACCCCAGGGAAGAGAGGGGAAGGCACGTAGCAATCGCCGATGAGGGCGCCACGCCCAACACAGGCGCGCCCAGCCAGCTCGAACTCCCTGTCAAGCTGCTGCTGCGCCTCGTCGCACTCATCGACGTCGATCCGGGCCTGCACCACCTGGGCACCGCCGCCGCCAGTAACGACGGGGTCCATCCCAGCTGGGGCGACGGGCCTCGCAGCCGACCGCAGCGGCGTGCGCAGGGCAACAACACGGCCAAGCTGCGGCACCGCCTCCGCCTCGCAAATGTCCACGTGGCACTCCATCTTGCGCTCTCGCCTCGCCTCCAGCCTGGCGGATCGCTGGAGCCACCGCAGGGTGAGGCCGCACGCCGACGCAACCCTGACCCCATGGGCGTTGGCGTGGAGAGCCACATTCCTCCGCACTGCATCCTCCTGCTCGGGGGCCACTCCCCGCAGCAGGGCCGTCAGCGCGGGCACGATCGCCTCCAGGCGGTCGGCCAGCTCGGCGTCGCCCACGTAGGACGCGAAGCACCGCCGAACGGCCTCCAGCTCGCTGCGCAGGGCCGCTGCATCCGCGAGCGCCGCCTTCACTCCCTTGTCCGCTGCCTCGAGCGCCCGCCTCCGAGCCGCGGAACGCTCCGCGCGCGTCCGCCGCGGCTCGCCGAGGCAAGCGCGTGCAGCATCAGGAACACTGCCCAGCGTCCCCGCCCGCGCCATCGTGCCCAAGCGCCCGCGCGCACGCGCGCCCGAGCCAGGCTTGAGCCAAACTGGCTACGGATGGCGAAGGGATGGGCGAGCGTCGGACCGCGGTCTGCCGCGCGGCCCCACAGCTCGACTGCCCGCGCGGCGCGCGCGGCCGGGCGCCGCGGGATGGGCAAGGCCCCCGACCGCACGGGGGTCTTGGGGGCCCTCTCAGGGCCCCCGACCACGAGGCCGAACGCGACGACGCGACGACCTTCACCACTCCGACCTTCGGCCCGCGTCGTCGCTTTCGGAGTCGAGGGCACGCTCGACGTCCGCGACAACCTGCATCCAGGCGGCCTTGTCCCTGTCCTCGGCGAACTCGCCGTCCAGGAACTTCCCACCCCACTCCTGCTCGTCCAGGGTCGTGGAGCTGCCTTGGCCCAGTACCTGCTTGGCACCGACGCGGAGCCTGCCAAGAGAGGCCACCACAGCGCGCTTCTCGAGCTTCTCCGCAACCGCGTCCAAGACGGGCTCGAGCTCCGCCTTCAAGGACGCCACCAGGGCAGCGCTGGCCAGCTCGGCGGCCTTACGCTCGGCGACGCGAATCGCCTCGGTGAGGAGCACGTCGTCCGACTCCGCGCCCTGCTCATTCTTCTTGCCCTTCTTCGTCTTGGGAGCAGGGGCTGCCGCCAGCGGCGGCGAGGGCGCAGCCGCTGCACGCGCCGCACGCACATCGCGCGCCGAAGCAGCCGCCAGCTGCCCCAGCCAGCAGCGCCAGCACCGCTGTACCACGCAAGCAGCGGCGGCCCGCGCAGCGTCCGCCCGCCGCACGGCCTCGGCCGAGGCCCACACCTCCGCCGAGCGCGCCGCGAGCTCCTGCGCCGCCTCCCAGCGAGCCGCCCGCTTGCCCTTGCCCTGCATGAGTCGCCAGTCGTCGCCAATCTCGCCGCTCATGCGCTCCAGGTCGGAGGGACGCACGGCCTCCACCAGCTGCTCCTGCACATGGCCCTGGGCCGCCGCGTTGCCCTTCGTCTTCAGCATGTCCTTGCACACTTGCACACCGCGGCCTTCGGACGCCGATCTGCACGACCGACTCCTGCACGTGCACCGCGTGGCCGTCCACGGGCGTCACCGACTGCTCAACTCCGCTGCCGTCAACGCCGTGCACGATGTCCTGACACGGCTGCCCTGCGCCCCGTAGCAATCGGAGCAGCTCCTGGCCCTGCAGGGCCCCAGTCGCGCTGTCGAGGCTCCCCGAGGTCCCGGAAGCCGCAGCAACACCTTCGACCCATTGGTGCAGCACCACGCCGCGGACGCACATCTGCTGATGTTACCCGCGCCACGGGCTCCAGGTCGCACGGCCACATGTCGAGAACCAGCAGCCGCCATCGGGCAGCGAGCCCTTGCCGCCGACATCGAGCTCCTCCACGACCGCTGGCTCCGCCAGCCGGTGGCCCCCGCAGGGCAGCAGCACCGCGCCACCGCTACCAGGGAGGCCCGGAGGCGGGGGGGGAGAGGACGGCCCCCGTGGGCACCGACAAAATGCTGGATTTTGCGTCGCGCGCCACTGGGCAAGCCTTGCATTTTTGCGGGAGGTGGGTCGGTCCCGGCCATCCATGGCCTACCATGGCCCTCACATGTCTGGTTTGGCTTGCTGGTGTTTCTGCAGCGAACTTGTTGCTGAGGAGTTCAAAGCAGCCTGTACAAGGACCCTTTCCAATACCAGACGAGAATACCTCGGAAGGTTGGGTAAAGGTCAGTGGCCCGAGGCGCGTGCCCGAGTTCAGCAGACAGCTCGAGGCTCGGGTTCAGTTTGAATCAGGATCTCATTTTGTAATGGCGTCTACTCCACTGAATTCCACTCCTCCTCCGCCGTCCCGCCGACGCCTTCTTCACTACACCCCACCTCCTCCTCCCCCTCCCCTCCTCCTCCTCCTCCTCCTCCTCCTCCTCCTCCTCCTCCTCCTCCTCCTCCTCCTCCTCCTCCCCTCCCCCCCCTCCTCCTCCTCCTCCTCCTCCTCCTCCTCCTCCTCCTCCTCCTCCTCCTCCTGATTATGATTCTGATTCTGAAAACCCCGAATGGGGAGTTCGGCCTGCGCTGGGCAAAGCAGGTCCTTGTATGTTCCTCCCCCCAGCGGCAGCGAGTGCTGTGCCCAGCCCAGCGTCGAGTGGCCCGGCTGCGCTTGCGTCGGGGCGGCGGTTGGCAGTTGGGCAAGTGCCCTCTGCCTGGCCCAGTCCCCCTTGGGCACGCCCTCGCGAGTGCGCGGGCAGTTTTGGTGCCCTAAGGGGGAGCTGGCAGACCGCGCTGTCGGTCGCCACGGCCTTGTGGGGGTCCACGTAGAAGTCGCGTCCCTACCTGTTCCTCCACCCAGCGCCACCCGCTCCCGCGCGGAAGGGGAGGGGGAGGGAGGGAGGGAGGGGGAGGGAAGAGAGGAAGGGACGAGCAACCAAACGAGGGAGGCAAGAGGAAAGGAGGAAGGCGGAAGACGACGACGCCGACGACGCCGACGACGACGACGACGACGGCACCCGACCCCTAAGCAGCGCAACCACAAAAGAGGCCCAGTCTGGGGTCCACGCAGCGCCCCGACCCCCAAACAGCGCCTGCACAGAGCCGGGCCCTGTCTGGGATCCACGCTGTCGCCCTGTTTATTTTTTGCAGGGCTCTCGTTGGCAAGTCAAGAAATATGTGCTTATATGGAAAGGAATGGGCACGGTGGACTCAGTCCCAGCGCCGGCCGCGGCCGCGACCGCGGCGGTGGCTCCTGCTCCAACTCCTGCCCTGGCCGCTGTCCCAGGTCCCTGGCGCAGGCCGCTGGCCCTGGCTTGGCCCACTTTGCAACTGCAAGTCTGGCGGCTGTTGGTGCAGCACCGCTGCGAGGCCAACTGGGTTAGCAGCAGCGGCACGCGCAGCAGGGCCCATCGGCACCGTCCACCCAGACACCGCCGCCAGCAAAGCCTCGCGGGTGCGCTGGTTCCCTGCAATTGCAACATTCTGTTGCTTGAACCAGAAATCCAAGGCACCACCCCTGTTTAGCGGCCGAAGCACCAACCCGATGATCTGGCTCCCATTGCCCCGCAGGTAGCTGGCTTGGTCTGCGCGGACATAGAATGGATTGTTCGCAGGGTGGGAATCACACATGAAGAGGATGTCCTTCTCAGTCATGGCGCGGCCGCCCACGCATGGCGGCAGGAGGCGGCGGTACACATCGGGGTCTGGCGGGTGGGCCCTAGGCGCAGGGGGCGCCAAGGAGGGCGCCATCGGCTGCGTTCTGTTGCTGCTCGAGGGCCGAGCCGTGGCACGAGGTGGCGAGGCAGCGGGATAGGTCGGGGCCGGTCCAGCAGGAGGCGGGCTGGCTGGCTGCCCCGCCGCGGGCGGGCGCCCAGGCCGTTGCGGTGGCGGCAAGCCAGAGCTGCTCGGCCCCGCAGGCGCGCCTGGCACCCGCGCCTCGGCGCACCCTGCCTCCCCCCCCCGCGAGCCAGCTCTGCGCGCCCGCAGCAGCGCGCGCAGCAGTCGGCGTGGCAGGCCCCGCAGGCGAGGGCCCTGGAGCGCAGGGCCTGGCGGTGCGCCATGGCGGCGGGGGTTGGCGCTGCTGAGCCAACGCTGGAGGCTTGCCCAGGATTGGCCAGAGGGCACCTCGGCAGCACCTGCAGTTGGCTGGGGGGGGCCCGTCTGCGCGGGGGCGGACGGCGAGGTGGAGGTGGAGCCGGGCCGGCTGGGCCGATGTGCCT